TGCTCTCTCTCTGCTGTTCTTTCTTCTCTTCACAGATACACCAAAGATTCACAGCCTCTTCTGCTGGATGCCCCTATCCACTCCCTGCAACCTGGTGACTCCATTCTCGTTCGGACTTGGAAGGACAAACCTCTCCAAGAGAAGTGGAAGGGACCCCACACCGTCCTGTTTGTCTCCCACACGGCAGCAAAGGTCGAAGGACACAAGAACTGGATTCATCACTCTGGACTGAAAGCAGTACCCACTCCTGAACAGTGGACAGTCCAGCCTGCAGAGAAGACTGCCAGCGACGATTTGGGACTTAAGCTGTTATTCAAAAGACAGTAAGGGTCACTGGGAATTCCTGGTGATCTCTCTGAACAGCCACAGCACACTCCCCGCGAGAACCCTGAGCATTGGTTCTATCTATTCACAGTAGGCCGACCTAGCCTATGGTCCTGGTCCTTTTATTTTTTTTTATTTGTTTGGTGTCAATAATTCTTATCTTCTGGGCATTTGGGTTATTGTAATCACAATATGGATTCAGGTTTAGGGTCTCTCACAACATTCCTTTTTATCACAGAAGTATTCCTTCTGTTACCTACTGTTTCACCCACATCGCATGCAGGATGGGGAGCCATTCCTGCAGATATGGCTACCAATACCTATGAGGCCCTAAAAATTGCCTTTGCCCGTGAGTTCAATCTCTCCCACTGTTGGATATGTGCCCAGACTCCCCACCATTTGGCTGGATTGCCCTGGAGAGTAGTTCCCCAAAATTGGTCAGACTATTGTCAAAGGTGGATGGTTACCAACAGTAGCACCTCTGACAATTTAAGTTTGCGATCTAACTGTACTGCGGAAGCTCCTTATGGCCTACACAATGGCACTTGGAATTCCCACTATAGTAGCACTCTTAAGCCCCAGCCCATTCGTTTACGCTCTCCACCCACTGGTCTCATATGTTATCAGCAAGCCAGTACAAGTAATCATACCTGGTTTGCAGGCATTAGTACATGTAGATTTTATATTGGTCCTGGTATAAGTCTCACTGTTCCTTTACTAAATGCCACCGGTTGGCAAACCGGCGCTGCATTCTTTGCCCTTTCCCCACAAGCCACCCTACGGGACCTACAAGGTAACAATGGAAAGGCTAGTTATGGTGAAGCATTCTGGGTTTGTGGTAATAGTGCCTACAAATGGCTTCCTCATGGTTGGCATGGTAGCTGTTACAAAGGCTATCTCGCTCCTCCTCTCTGTGTTCTCACCCAGGCTCCCTCAGGTCGCCCTAGGTACTATCGGTCCTTGAGAGCTACCATTGAACCCATCGGAGAAGGAGACAGGTTTGGGATGATATTCCTCCCTACTTATGGAGTGGAACGGCTAACCCAACTCTACAGGAGACTTTCTAAATTTCTCACTCAGTTTGCCAATGATACCTTGGCCATAGAGAAAAGCATAAGTTCTGAGCTGCACCAGCTTTGATTGCTGGCTCTACAAAACCGCCAGGCCCTAGATTATGCGTTAGCCTCACGGGGCGGGGTCTGTGCCCTTATTGGAGAAGAATGCTGTACCTATGTCCCAGAGTTTTCACAGGATATTAACAAGCATATCTTGTCAGCTGAACAGGCCTTGAACCAGTGGAAGGCCCAGGAAGGGGGAACCCACTATTTCTGATTACCTTTGGGGTTGGTTACCTGGTCTAAGGGGACTAGAGGGAGGCATTGTTCGCATCTTGCTCACAGGTGTTGTGATATGTTTTGTCCTTTTCCTTGCTTGCTGTAAAGTGCTCACACGTAAGATTTGTACCTCCCATTCCCCAGAAGTTCCTTTATACTCTCTCATTGATGATCCCAATTGCATGGAGCTTAATCACATTTTGTCTTTAGAGTATGAGAAAACTCTAAAGGCCATAAGTGCCGATGAAACCTCCCTGCTCTGGGTCTAAGTGAGACACAGTAACTCCATCTTGTGAACTTTAACCTACTCCCATGCTAACAGCCTATGCTGAAGCAGAAATGTAATGGTCAGCTTTTTTCTAGCAGACAGCTGCAGTTTCGCTCACACTAGCAAACGCAGTGATAAGACGGGGAGAAAGACGGGGGGGAAGATTGCGTGCGCACAGGCCTTGCAAGGCCAAAGATAAGCAGGCGAACGGGAAACTTTTCTAACAAGCCACAATGTGTACCTGCTGTAACTGCTCGGGACGGGAGGGGTAGTGGGGGAGAAACAGACAAAGCTTACACAGAAACAGCTTGGAATATAAAAGGGAAAACTTGCTTGTATGTGCTGCGCTTGATTTGAGACATGCTGGTCTCCTAGTGCCTTTTCGAGATCTCGAATAAACTTGGTTTGCTTCTCCACCCTGGTGTGTCTATTGGTGCGGCGCACACCAGGCAACGAACCCTGTTGTCCCCTCGGGGCCCTCTGGGCCGGCAACACTCTTGCCAGTGGTATTTGGATAATATTGTGTTAGGACCAAATTTATAGAACCATTTATGGTTGTAATAACATTCAAACTGTGTCCCAAATTTTGCAAACTTAAAGGAGCGAAACAAAAACCTCAGATGTCAGTGAATTTGGCACATTGCTGTTTAGCCCAGTTGGTGAAGTATGTGTATAAAGGTGAGAGTGATAATAATGGAATTCCAACTCCACCACCTTAGGAAAGGAACTTTGGATGAATGCACAGAATGTCCAAGACTACATTCTGTCCTGAGGTATGTGTTTAGATCTCAGTCATTGTGTCAGCTCTTCAGCTGATGTAAATTGATGCAACTCCATTGACTTCAGTGGACCAACAACAGTTAACACCAGCTGAGGATCTGGCCTGTCGTGATTTGAGTGTGTGAAGTCAATGGCAGAATTTGACTCCTAGTCAGACACAATAAACCTGTGCTTAGGCTCTGGCTCTTCAGCTTGGATTATGTGTCAATGTGATGGCATCAATATGATAGCATCATGTACAGCTTAATAGGCTTGAAGAGTATACTGCTGCACAAGGAAGTGTGCTTCACAAGGATTTGAGGATGTGCCTGTGGATTTCCTTAATCAGCCTTATTCAAGCCTTTAAAATGTAGTTAATTGAGGATGTCAGTCCTTGCAAAGATCAAATCCAATAAATTCCACCACACTTTTTCCTGTGACCTCAGTGTTGCAGTAGTATCAGCTTCCTTATTGAGGGTGACTAAGGTAATAGTAAGCCACATTTTAAATCTTCGTTTTCTGATCTGTATTTCCTATTTGACATCTTTTCCTTTTGTTTATGCCCCTAGGAATCCACTGTTCCCTTGAAATATAAAGTACTGTATTTTCTGACAGTGTTTCTGGGGACAGTAAGCAAACACATCTCTAAGTCAAGCTCTACTTCTCTCCTTTTACCCTTATTTTTAAAGACATAGAGCTCTTAATATTCTGCACATTCTGAAAACCGCTATTCTTACCTCTCCTTCCCAAAGCGATCTCATCTTGTTAATCGAGTATCCATGGTTGAGAATGGGCAGTAAATGGAAAAGCAATTAAAAGTGACCATATTTTAAGAATGATTACCTTATCTTGTTTGCTGACCACGGCCATTTACTGTATTCCAAAGTTGTAGACCCAAAACAGAATTATTATTTTTTTGTGATAACTGCTATTTTTGCCTTAACTGGTTGGAGTGCTTCTCTTGAACAGGCCTTAAATCATTTTTTTCTCTGGAGTCTGTGAGGTGAACTGGAGCTAACTCTCAATATAAACAAACTAAGTGACCTTTCCAAATTCAGTAGAGCAAATTCCGCTTTCAGTTACACTCATGGAACCCAAGCTTTAGAAAAAGCTTTAAAAGTGACTTGCAAAAGGAGAAAAATATTGGGTTGTGCTCCCCCCACCTTTTTTGTTGTTGTTGTTTTCTAGTGATGCATACATGAACTAAAGACTTATTTTAAAATTTTGTTTTTTACCATAAGAATTATCAGGAATGTCAAATCTAGCATTTCTTGGTTTGCTGAAGGACTCATTTGAGAACCTGGAAATGGACTATGAGTTCTTTCAGCACTCACATGAAGAGCTAGAGGATGTTGAATTTCTAACAAAGACATTTTTCTCCAAGTGTTTCTCAGGCATTTTGGATAAACAGATGTTAAAAACGTTGGGGGGAGGGATCCTCATACGGTGTAAATTGGCATAGATCCATTGTCCAAAGAGTTTTCTGAATAATCTGAATGATTACATCATCTCAAGCTTGTTTCATTTGCTTGGTTTTTCTGATATTATTAATCCTACCAGTTCTCCAGTCATCCACAAAATCTTCTGGGGGAAAAAAGTGAATAGATACACCCGAATTTCTAATATATTAAGACTTTTTTCTGTTTATATCAATGATACAAAAAATGTACAAACTCATTTTTCCTTTTGTCAGGTGAAGTGAAAATCTCAAATAACTGAATTTTGAAGGTTAGTTTGATAAAATCTTTGTTCTAAGACTCAAAAAAACTAAAAAATATGTCTTCTGAAATGTAGCTCAATAGTCTACAGTTCTGAAAAATATCCTCTACATCTTATAAGTAATAAGGCAATATTTAACTTTTTCTATCTTATTGTAGCACTTTACTTTTTAAAGTCCTGGTAAGCCACACACCAACATCAGGGTTACTGTCAAAGAATGTAAAGACATGTTTTGTTGCAAACTATGGTTAGATTTATAAAATACTTTACATTCAAACCTCTTCTGATTGTTTTACTACTATTTGCATTCAGTATCTTACTTCTATGTAATTATCTCACCACCGGATATCAAACAGCTCCAGCCTGTTCTCCAAATAAAGCTACAATGCAATTCACCCTCTTTCACATGGCGAACCAAAAATTAAACAATATTAATAGGTGGTAAATTACACGTAAGTGCTCACTGGTACATCCATTTGCACATACGTTAACATTTTTAATTATTATACTCATTCTTTAGATCAGTTTATTGGCGCTAGAAAGAGTTGAATGATTATTTTTGCTGGTCTTCGTGTTTTTTTATTTATCTACAGTACCTTCTTTAATCTTTTAGCAGTATCACAACTCTTTTGCTGACATGGATTGTTGGTTTTTTCTGTATCTAAAGAAGAAACTGTAACAAAACATACTCTACTTTACAAAGGAAAAAATACACTGAAATCAACATTAAACTTGCTAATATCCCAAAAATATATTGTAAGGTTTTCTTTTCAAATTTATAAAATTACATTTCTGATTATGCCTGAAGGAACTACACAGAAAATAATTTTTGCATGTTCAGATGTCTGACTAGTAATACTGCCTTAAAGAAATAATCAGAATTTTCATCTCATGAACATATAATTAGATCATGGTGAACTTAAATATTATTTGATATCTCCTTTTAAAAAAAAGTGTAATTGGAGGCAATACTTATTTGCAGATTTTGATCGCTAGGAAATTAGTAATCTTAGAACTCTACCAATGTTGTAAATATTCTAATTCTTTCAATTCAGATGAGTAATCCACTTGAGAATTATTTAACTGGAGTGGCTGTTTAATTAAGGCATAGGTCTTAATATATCACTCTTGGGTTGATGCTTTGAGTGTGTGGCCAGGCAGGAACTCCAAAAGCTCAAAGTTTTGATCAATTATTTCTGCAAGGAACTTCTTGAGCCTCCCCTGAAGAAAAGCTATGATAATCCCTAGTGCTTCCAATGATCAGTTCCTTTCTAGTCTTTCACTAGTGAAAGACTAATAGTACAGTAGAATATAATAAGGATAACTTCAGCAACTCTAGTTCTTCAAAAATGATTGCCTTATGGATCTACATTCTTGTGAAACATGCATGCTCTATAGGTATAAGTGTCTAATGCCTGAGCCCTAGCTTTCATTTTCTCAGGAGTCCTTATACAACTCTGACATGAAGGATGGTGAGAAGCGTGGATCCATATAGGCAAATGATTACACTCATGCAATCATCTGCCTGTATAGATCCCCATTCTTGGGAGATTAACAAGCACTAACAACTCAATATGATGGAGGGCCAGAAGAAATATTAATTAAATAGAGATTGAAGTGCTGCTCTCCAGCATTTGATATTAGAGTAAGCTGCCAAATCAAGAATATGAAATGTATGAATTGAACTCCTTTTACCAACAGCTTAACATTGATCTGTAATGGAAACATTTCTGAAATATGCATTAGAAGCTGCTTAAAACTAGTAAAATATGTTCCAAGACTCTGAACACCTGCAAGTTCACAACAGGTTTTTTTTACACATTTTGATCCACTTAATCTCCGAAAAGAGATCATACAGTCTGTGATTTTGATAAGCCTCAGACAGTCTAGGACAGGGATTCTCAAACTTCATTGCCCCATGACCTCCTTCTGACAACAAAAATTACTACACAACCCTAGGACAGGGGATCGAAGCCTGAGCCCGCCCAAGCCCAGCTGCCTCGGGTGGGGGCGGGAGCAAAGCCAAAGCCTTAGCCCCAGCGCTCTGGGTGCGGGGACCAAAGAAGGAGGCCTGTAACCCTGGGCCCCACCGCCCAGGGCTGAAGCTCTTGGGCTTTGGCCCTGGGCCCCAGCAAGTCTAACGCCAGCCCCCCGCTGGTCTAGGAGACTTACATGTTGTCTTAGTCCTATCTACGTAGTCTAGATAGTAGCTAAGAATTCTAAATATCTAGGTTATATAATCTAAACTCCCCCCAGTAATGACTCAGATTTAGAGGAGAAAAACAGTAAACTATTACTGACTGGTTTGGTGAAACATTTAGGGTTTGTTGTTTCAAACGCTTCACACAGATGTTACACCTGAAAAAATGAGTAGAACCACAGTCTTTGACGGACTACCCATGCTGGGCATTGTATTTTCTGCTCAGATTGTTTAAGCAAGTGTTCTTTGTCAGGAAGAATGTTATATTTCCTTGACTCTGAAACCATACAGAGACTGACTTCTGCATATATTGGAATCTGCCATTTGCAAGGCGGGTGGCAGCACATTTGGAATTCAGGACAAATCCTATGAAATCCGCTTTTTTTGTCAAAATGAAAGTTTACATTTAACACTGGCATTTGACTGGAATAGACTGCATAATGGATCCCTCTTGAAAACTGAGCTCTCAGCAAGAAATCTGGGTAGGGACCAATACAGCTACCTTGACATCTTACAATTACTGACAGCACAGACAGACACTTAGGCCTGGTCTACACTAGGCTTTTATGTCGAATTTAGCGCCGTTATATCGAATTAACCCTGCACCCGTCCACACCAGGAAGCCATTTAGTTCGACATAAAGCTCTCTTTAAATTGATTTCTGTAATCCTCCCCAACGAGAGGAGTAGCGCTAAATTCGACATGGCCATATCGAATTAGGCTAGGTGTGGATGGAAATCGACGGTAATAGCTCCGGGAGCTATCCCACAGTGCACCACTCTGTTGACGCTCTGGACAGCAGTCCGAGCTCGGATGCTCTGACCAGCCACACCCCCGGGAAAATTTGAATTCATTTTCCTGTCTGGGCAGTTTGAATCTCAGTTCCTGTTTGGACATCGAGGGGAGCTCAGCAGCAGTGGCAACTATGCAGAGCTCTCCAGCAGAGATGGCCGTGCAATCTAATAGAAAGAGGGCCCCAGCATGGACTGATCGGGAAGTCTTGGATCTCATCGCAGTGTGGGGCGATGAGTCCGTGCTTTCAGAGCTGCGCTCCAAAAGAAGGAATGCTAAGATCTACGAGAAGATCTCCAAAGCCATGGCAGAGAGAGGCTACAGCCGGGATGCAACGCAGTGCCGCGTGAAAATCAAGGAGCTGAGACAAGGCTACCAAAAAACCAAAGAGGCTAACGGACGCTCCGGATCCCAGCCCCACACATCCCGTTTCTACGAGGCACTGCATTCCATCCTGGGAGCGGCCGCCACCACTACCCCACCCCTGACCGTGGACTCCGAGGATGGGATATTGTCCGCGGCCGGTTCCTCGTCGGACATGTTAGCGGACGGGGAAGATGAAGAAGGAGATGAGGAGGACGAGGCAGTCGACAGCGCTGGCACCGCTGATTTCCCCGACAGCCAGGAGCTCTTCATCACCCTTACCGAGATCCCGTACCAACCGTCCCCATCCCTTACCCCGGACACAGAATCAGGGGAAGGATCAAGCAGTAAGTGCTGTAAACATGTAAACATTTATTTAAAACAGAACGGTAATATTTATACTATTAACAATGTATGTTTATAAAAGTGCTGTAAACTAGTAAAAAAGAATCAGGTGCAAAACAGGAATATTTACAAAGGTAACAAATGGGTTTTCATGATTTCTCTGTCTTAGGCTCTTCTCAATTTAGTCCCAAGTATTTTAAAAAATTTTCACAATGTCCGTTACTACATGATTCCCAGGCCCAAGACGCTCCACTCCATAGTCCCAGTGCACCTAGGCGAAAATCCGGTCAATGTGGCCGGGGATTGACGAGAAATCCTCGTAGGAGAACTCCTCGTAGGTCTCGTGGAGGTAGATCTCAAGCCTGTTTATGAGGTTCCGGGGTAGGGCGATCTTACTGGGCCCTCCGTGGTAGCAGACATGTCCCCTCCACGCCACAATCAGGTACTCGGGGATCATGGCCCGACATAGCATGGCGGCATACGGCCCCGGTTTCTGCATGCTTTCCCGCAGCATGCGTTCTCTCTGGGTGTCCGGGATCCTCAGGAGGGTGATGTCGCTCATGACGCCCTGCTTTGAATTAGGGAGGGGAATGTTAGTATTGGGACTGCTTTACAGCCACGCGGTGGAGGGAGAGGGGCAGCATACAGGGATCTTTCCCTGGGACAGCCGCGAGGGGGTGGAACAGGGGCAGAGTTGATGCTGTCCTGATTGCTGGCAGCAGAGACTGGCATTGCTTTCAATGTGAAAGGAGGCCAGTGCTACTGCTGGAGTTTTAAGCAGCCACAAGTCTCCGGCTTACCATTATTGCCCGCTCCAGAAGTTCAGGTCTCCAGCCACAGTTCTCTGAACACTCCAAGACCTCCGCAAGTCCACAGGCACTGAAGGCGACGGCCGAAAATTCGACCTTGTCCTGAGTGCGCATGTGAGAGGTGCAGTGCATGGTCTTGTTCACAGAGAAAGACTAGGTTCTTTGTATACAATTTCATTTATCTGTCTCAGGAATTCACTCCCTTTTTACAATTCACACAGACACATCTGCGACTGTCTCCCAACCCAGCCTGTCAGCACACTCCCAGAGGCTAGCGCAGATTAGGCGGAGGAAGAAGAAGACGCGTGAAGACATGTTCTCAGAACTAATGGGATGCTCCCGAGCCCAGGCAGCCCAGCAGACACAGTGGAGGGAGAACTTGTCACAAATGCACCGAGCAGTCATGGAACGGGAGGAGAGGTGGCGTCAGGAGGACCAACAGGCTACTGAAAAGCTGCTTGGACTAATGAGGGAGCAAACGGACACGCTCCGGCGCCTTGTGGATGTTCTGCAAGACCGGAGGCAGGAGGACAGAGCCCCGCTGCAGTCTATCTGTAACCGCCCTCACCCGCCACCAAGTCCCACACCACCCTCACCCAAAGTCCAAAGAAGGAGGGGCAGCAAGGGCCGTTAAAACTTTCAGTCAACCCCTGCAGACTGCTCTAGCACTAGAAGGCTGACATTCCCCAAAATTTCATAAGTCCTTTCCTACCCACCTCACACAAGCCCCCGTCCAAGTTTCACCCCCCACGTTTCATGTCTGGTTCGCAATAAGATGTTTGTTTCTGTCCATTACTGTTTCAGTCAGGTTCTTTTGAGGGAGAGTCTGTCTGGAGGGGGGGAAGGGGCTTGGTAATTGGACAGGACAGTGACCTTTAGCAGGGTACAGAGGCGGTGTCAGGTCCAGCATCAGGACACATACACAGTGCAGTCACTGGTTACCCTGGTCAGTCTGGGAGGTGTTTTTCATGTTCTGGGGGGGGGGGGTTGCTCTGTGACTTTGTGGCGGGGGAGGGCAGTTACAGATCTTATGCAGCGGTCCTTATCCTGGATCACAGATCGACGCAGCAGGGGATCTGTAACCCTACCCCCCCTGCCAGAAAGTCACATAGCCGACACATACACACAGTCCCCCCAAGGAGTGCTGGCAGGCTCCATTGAAATAACCAGTCCACCAGTGCGGAGCCTGTCATTCCGGGAGTTTAGAAGCATCATTTGCATCAGAACACTGAACCCGCCCCCTGCCACAGTCTGCGTCCCCGGTTTAAAATATTCCCGCGAAAACAGCAATACAGACAACGGTGTTCATTAACAAAATCGAAATGATTTTATTTTTTGGGAAGGGGAAGGGGGTGAAGGGGGTATGTAACTGGAGAGGATAGTCAAAATGAACTGGGTAAAGAAACGGGGGCAGGTTCAGCTTTTCTGTCCACAAACTGAAAAGTCACTGGTTGCCCTGCTCACTCAGGAACCTAGCTTTCAAAGCCTCCCGGATGCACAGGGCATCCCGCTGGGATCTTCTAATGGCCCGGCTGTCTGGCTGGACGTAATCAGCAGCCAGGCTATTTGCCTCTAGCTCCCACCCCGCCATAAAGGTCTCCCCCTTGCTCTCACACAGATTGTGGAGCACACAGCAAGCTGCAATAACGATGGGGATATTGGTTTCACTGAGATCACAGCGAGTGAGTAAGCTTCTCCATCTCCCTTTGAGACGGCCAAAAGCACACTCCACTACCATTCTGCACTTGCTCAGCCGGTAGTTGAACAGTTCTTTTTCTGTGTCCAGGGCGCCAGTATAGGGCTTCATGAGCCAGGGCATTAGCGGGTAGGCTGGGTCCCCGAGGATGACTGTAGGCATCTCCACATCCCCAAGAGTTATTTTGTGGTCTGGGAAGTAAATACCTTCCTGCAGCCGTCTAAACAGACCAGAGTTCCTGAACACGCGAGCGTCATGAACCTTGCCCGGCCATCCGACGTAGATGTTTGTAAACCGTCCCCGATGGTCCACCAGTGCTTGCAGCACCATTGAAAAGTAGCCCTTTCTATTGATGTACTGGCTGGCCTGGTGGTCCGGTCCCAGGATAGGGATGTGAGTCCCATCGATAGCCCCACCGCAGTTTGGGAATCCCATCGCGGCAAAGCCATCTATGATGACCTGTGCGTTTCCCAGGGTCACTACCTTTGGGAGCAGTACCTTCACGATTGCCTTGGCTACTTGCATGACAACAACCCCCACGGTAGATTTGCCCACACCAAAGTGGTTCGCGACTGACCGGTAGCTGTCCGGCGTTGCAAGCTTCCAGAGGGCTATGGCCACTCGCTTCTCAACTGTGAGGGCTGCTCTCATCCTGGTATTCTGGCGCTTCAGGGCAGGGGACAGCAACTCACAAAGTTCGAGGAAAGTCCCCTTCCGCATGCGAAAGTTTCGCAGCCACTGGGATTCATCCCAGACCTGAAGCACTATACGGTCCCACCAGTCCGTGCTTGTTTCCCGGGCCCAGAATCGCCGTTCCACGATATCCACATGACCCATTGCCACCGTGATGTCCTGGGCGCTGGGGCTCGTGGTTTCTGACAGCTCTGTGCTACTCTCCGACTTCAGGCCATCACGGCGGTGTCGTAGCCTCCTCGCCTGATTACTCTTCATCTGCCTCAGGGAAAGGTGTATGATAAGCTGCGAGGTGTTGAGAACGGCCACAAGTGCAGCGATGGTCGCAGCGTGATCCATGATCGCAGTGCTGTGGCGTCCGCGCTGTCACTGACCAGAAAAGTGCGCAAACTGATTTCCCGCCGGCGCTTTCATGGAGGGAGGGAGGGCGTTAGTGACGGACGGATGACGACAAATTTTTTTTACCCAGAAGGCATTGGCGGCTCGACCCAGAATTCCGATGGGCAGCGGGGACTGCGGGAACTGTGGGATAGCTGCCCACAGTGCACCGCTTCCAATATCGACGCTCGCCCCGTTAGTGTGGACTCACAAAGTCGAATTACTGTCCTTAGTGTGGACACACACGTTCGACTTTGCAATATCGATTCCACATATTCGATTTAAGTAAAATCGAATTACCCTCGTAGTGTAGACATACCCTTGGTAAACATTCTTAAGGAAAAAGGTGTAAAGAAAAATACCCTATATTGAGAGGGGTCTTCACCCAAGCCAAGCCTCATATAGTTTTTGATCAATAGGACAGATGAAAATACGAAAGTAGGCATCCTTTACATGAAAGCCTAAACCTACTGAGTGAACGCTTTTCTTAGATCCAATATGCGTCTTATTTTCTCTTTCCCCCTCCTTCCTCCCTCCCCCCCGGGAATAATAAAGAATGTGGATCTAGTCCAAAGTCTCAAACGGGACTTGGACTCAGTGCTGCAATGCCTAACTTTTAGGTCCCTGCTGCCTAAGGAATTCCACAGGCCAAGGTTAGCTACCCAGGTTCCTTATACAATATAAGGGGCGTCAGGGGCCTAAGAATGGGATTAACAAAAGCCAGCATACTGAGTAGGGAGCTGCCTAAGATAGCCAATAGCAAATTTTGGGAAGGGTGGCAGAGCCTAAGCACCACCCGGCAAAATGAGTTAGTCACCTAACTGATGGCATGTCCCTCTGCTTGAGATTCCCTCTACTTGAACATTCTCCTAGTGTAGGTGCTTAAGCCAAGGCAGTCCTTTCATGCAAAAAGTGGTGGTGGGACCTGTTGCCCCCCATCCCCACAATCCTGTGGTTAGTGCATTCACACACGTTCAAAACCTCATTCAGCCTGCTGTTGAACAGGGACTTGAACATGGGTCTCCCATACCCCAGGAGAGTACCGTAATCGGTCAGTCATTCTCTGTCTCCCTGACCCAGTGAATATTTATGTATTTTACAAAAAGTGGAAGAGAGACTGAGCTTCACCTCAAAATACCACATAGCTCAAGGTTTAGAGAAAGGAAGATCTGGGTTTAAGTTTCTGCTCCACATCAGGAAGTATAGGGATTTGTATCCAGGCCTCTTACATCTTATGTGAGTTCTCTAACCACTTGACTACAGGGTATAAGGGGCACTACTACCATCTCCTCCTCCATGGACACATACTGGACCATGATCTGCAGATGAGATAGGTGGGGAATGCCTAATTTGCAGATCCCACTGGGACATAAGAGATTTTACACATGTCCACCAGCAGAATGCTAGGCGCACAGAGACTTTAGGAGCCTACAGGGTTAGGCAGCAGCTGCATGGGGGTTTTCAGAATCTAATTTTTGGCACCTTTGGGGATCTAGCCCTCTGAGTCTTATTTTCTTGTGAGGCAGATTTGTAAGGATTAGGAAAGCCACCTGGAGTGATACTGGACAAAATTTCTTTTGTTAGTTAAAGGATTCAATTGTCCATTGAATTTTAAGGAGAAATTACATGGACAGCTGTCAAATTAGAAGATATGCAAGACAACTGAGGCAGCCAGCCAGCACAGCAACCACTGGAAGCGCCTTCATCAGCTGTAACAAGAAAGGAACTGACCATCGGCGGCATCTTGTATCTCCATAGCTGTTCTGCAGGGGCTGTTTGTAATGCCCCCGCAGGAGCTGTAACTTTATGCTATATAAGTTCCCTCTTGGCCATGTGCTTGGAGCCTGGACCAAAGAAGGGGAATCAATTAGGATAGGTATCATTTTCTCATCTTTTGGTGATAGTTTCAGGTAGCCTAGCAAATTCTTGACAATTTTTCCTGATAAAAATATACATCCTGAAGGTGATGTAATATACTCTTATTTCCACAGCTCTCTACTCAATGCCAAATCATGGAAAATCGAGTAAAGCTTGAGCAAAATGATTTTGCTCCAACACAAGTATGCTGAAGCACATTGGAGGCAGAGGGATGGATTCTTTAACCTCAATTTGTGCTTTAGGGCCCTTCAATCTACTATCCCCCACACCCAGTTAATTTGGGGATAAAAATAGTAGCAGACTGTTAAGCAAATTATTAAGGCTTTGTCACAAACCTTGCCACCAGGAGCAGAACAGGAACTGTACTGTGACTCTCAGTCACATAGTGGTCCCTCCTTGCTTCAGGGAAAACAATCCACACACCAGCCACAGGCCTGGCACAGGCTACTTCCCCGGAGGGCTGAGTGGTGGTGGTGTGTGTCTGGGGGGGCGGGGGGAAGGAAACAGTGGAATGCTTTTGCTAACTCCTCAGCCATGGCCTCCCTTCCTCCACACACATGCATAGGAGGGGGAATGACAGCCCCACAGTAGCTGCTCTCCCACTGCACTGCTCCTCACAATATATGAAGGGGGCATATTATATCCCTTTACTTTCCTGTGTGGGCATGCCTCAGGGGTCAAAATCGCACTCTATGATAAGACCAACTAAATAACTGTGTCTGTGGGTAGATGCATAAAAGCTCCTAACTTGGTTTGTAGGCTATTGTGAAGGATATTTTTTGGAGTCAGACATCTGAATTTTCATAATTTTTACATGGATTTACCACATAAATTATTTTTGTGTATTTTGTTATAATCTAGATAACTCTTTATGAATTAAAGACGTAAAATGCTTTCAATAGGAATAGTGAAGATATTCCATGAAATAAACTTTGCTTCACCATGAAAAAACTAAGCAGTCTTTAAAAGATCAATAATTTTTACCTGTAAAAGTAAAGAAGATTTCATTTTGTAGACCTGCTTTCTGCATTTTTACATGATGGCACTCTGCCTTGAGTAAAGTAACCTCACAAGAAAGTTCAGTGACAAGTTTGCTTAGTATTTGAAGCAACTTCTTCTCAAAAGAAATATTGTAGATACTGTTGCAAGGGGCTGCATGATACCGGGCTGTAAACTCATAGTAAAAGTTAGGATCAGAATAAGCTGCAGGTGAAAGAAAATACAAAATACTGAGAGATGCACATTTAAACATGAAGGTTAAGTTAAAAAGAGACAGTATTTTTGTGTAGTTCATAAACAAATTTGATTTACATCCCCAATTGAAATTTTAATGAAGGATTCATGTGTCAGAGAACAATGGAAAATACTTTATAATTCAGCATTCCTGTTTGTTTCCATAGATAAATATCACCTTTCATTTTGCAAAACATATCCTAATAAGGACAAAGCCCCTATATATTTTTGTTTCACTTTCAAGAAATGAAGAGACTATAGTATAAGTGCTTAAGAATATAAAGGAACTTAAAGACAATAGCAGTTTCAGAAGACACATTTCAACATGAGGTGCAATTTATCATCACAGGCATTGCATTTAATAATATATAATTATAATACAGTATTTTGCACCTTCTAGTGAGAACCAAAAAAGCTATTTTAAAGGGCTTCAAGATTGACTCCTGTCCCCCAGAATGAGTCCCAAGAGACCTCTAGCAACTGAGCTCAGCAGCATGTCCCTTCTAGATTAGTCTCTCTACTGGTCCTGCTGAATAGCTGATACGGCAGAGGGGGGTGAGGAGAGTCTCTTCTGCTGCAATCTGTACTGAATTGAAGTTAGCTCCCCTAGCTCCCCACAATCACAGTCTTGCACATGGTGAAGGGGGTCATGACAACAGTAGGGTCACAGATTAAATGGATGGATCACAAGGAGACAGAGGAATAATGGAAGCAGGGCCGGCTCCAGGCACAAGCGTAGCAAGCAGGTGCCTGGGGTGGCCAATGAAGGGGGGGCGGCACGTCCAGCCGTTCGGCGGCAATTCGGCAGCGGGGCCGTCACTCCCTCTGAGAGCGAAGGACCTGCCGCCGAATTGCCGCCGATCACGATCGTGGCTTTTGTTTTTTGGGGGGTTTTTTTGGTGCTTGGGGCGGCAAAAATGCTAGAGCCGGCTCTGAATGGAAGCTAAAGAAAAAGAAGCAGGGAGGCATCAGAGCAATAGAGAATGAAGGAACAGAGAAGGGAGAATGGAAAAATCAGGGATACAAGGAGTACATGACAAAGAGAAAGAGAATGTGGAGACAGTAGAGAAATCAGGTAGCTGGGTTAAAAAACAATGCTATACAGACTACATGATGGTGTACTGGTACCCATTTAAAGATAACTCACTAGACCGTTCACTGCTGGTTTATAATGCAGTATCCCATATTCATTCTGAATTTTTTTAAGCCATATCATCATGTATTTTAATACATTTATATATAAATTATTCCTGTAAATTGGGAGACCACATCTGCTTCTGTGCCCAGGTCCCGCATATTCTGGAAGCCCTGTACATTTCTATAAAAATAATTTTTCTTTCAGATATTTAGATTGGAATCTTGTTGTGGGGAACAAGCAAGTTGTAACAAGACTGGAAGATAACACTAGGAAACAGATGCTGGGAACAATAAATACTTCAGCATTTTGATCATGAAAAAATAAAATTCAAAAGAAGTTCCCCCTTTTCAGCTATGTTCAGCAAGTTGAAAAACTACTAAAGCAATCAGACTTCTTTTTTAAGGTTGGAGATAGTGGGCCAAATTCAGGTGAATTTAAAAGCAGGAATTAATTTGGCCTATTCTGTTCTACTCAATGTTTCAAAGCTAACACTGGCTTCAACCTAGGTCCAATTGAAGTCAATAGGAGTTTTGCTATTGGCTTCAGTTAGAATAGAATCACACCTTAAGGAAAGAAAAGGGGATTTGGTAATGAAGAAATATAATTTTATCTGTAATACTTGTATTTCAGCAGAATCAGGGGGCATTCTGCTACATTATGCAACAAAATTTACTCTGAATAGTGAAGCAGAATTAACACGTTCTTTAAAAAATGCTAACACTTTATATTTCATTACACAATATTCACTTAGAAGAGCAGGACTTACTTGACAACACTGTAAAAACAAAACTGAATAAGAGCTTTACATTGGTGTAAAGTGTGTCCTAGTGACTCTCCTGGAATCCCAGGAATAGGAGGTAAAAAAAAAAAGACATTAAAATAAATCTCCAATGGAATAAGTCAGCATGAAATGAAGTTACTTTGGCATAGTTTTTAAGAATTTTCACCCACCAAGTTTTTCAATTTTCTATTTTCCAATTATGTTTCATGTCTCCTTTTAAAAGCAGAGAGCTATGCTTAACAATTTCTCAATCAAAAGACCAGAAAATTTCCTTTAAGGCACTGAAAATGACATTCCATGAATTCTCTGGTAAGTGACAATTAACAGCAAATTATTGAGAGAGGTACAGAATTCTGCAACTCTACTCAAATTAAATTAAGCTGGTTTATCAGAATTTCAAAACATCAACATACATTTTAAAAGTGAAAGAAAAAACGTTTTTGTACTGTAAATTAACTATTTTGATCTCTTACCATAAATAACATATTTGAGCAAATAGTTTTTTTCAGCCTGCTCTGCAGTTGGTCTAAAAACGAGGGAACAAGTGTAAATTCCACTCATGTCGTATTTGAAGTGTCTGAATATTAGGGTTCCTGTTGGTGTTATTTTCACACTGCTATTTTCTAGTAAATAAATAAATAAAACAGTACAGTGAGTTTAGCTTTACTTTTCATTATAACGTGGGAAAATATAAAAGGAGGAATCTGAATGGCTATGGTTCCAACCATGCACAGAACGGTACTTATAGCCTTAATACAAGAAGGAAGCTCACCAGTAACTGTAGTTCTTTGACTGTATTACCACTGCATATTCACCATTATAGACAGGTGCCCCAGTACTGCAGAGCTTTTGGAATTTTGCACAAAGTAGTGCTCATTGGGCTGCACAAGTACCCTCACACAAAAATGTTCAGTTATAAACACGTTATGATCCCAACCATCTCAGTTCCTTTTAGTAAACTATAACGTCTCACAGTAGAGAACTCCCAGAAGAGGGGAATGTGGGCAGATAGTCTGAATAGTTACAGGCAATACAGTAAGAAATATATATATTTATTCTACAGTTACTGGTAAGTAATCTTTCTGACAATTACCCCCGCATATTACTAGTTGTGGAAGTTTAACAATTATCAGAACTCCAAAGTAGGTAGGCTAAAAAATTATAATTAAACAAAGGACCACAAGACAAAGTTTCCCAAAATAAGTATCACGTAGAGATGCTAAATTGAAAGAGCAGTGCTGTGCTGTGTAAATGTGTATACAAGACTTAAGGCAGCAGTTGTACAGATTTCTAGGATGGAAACAAGGCTTGAGGCAGTAGAGTGAGCTCTTAAGATATTGGGATACTGACAGCCAGACTAAATAACAACAGGTATCAAGGCAGACTCTGATTTACTTTGATAAAAGCTGCATGAGAATAAATAAATAAACAAACTAGTACAGTGTCTGCATTTCTGTCTGCATTACCAAGGGCACAAAATGTTTAGTGGACTTCCCAAATATCTTAGTCGGGTCAAGATGAAACATCTATGCTATGGAGACTAGATTTTTCTAGTGTGAGTGAGGTTTTGGGGAAAATATTGAGAAATGAACGGCCTGAATCAGGTGAATTTCATGCATCACTATTAGGGCCGGTGCAAGGATATTTTGCGCCCTAGGTGAAACTTCCACCTTGCGCTCCCCGTTCCCCTCCCCTCCCCCCTTAAAATAAATCACATACATTATACACAATACACTGTCACAGAGTAACACGTTATAATTTAGAATTTATTTTTCTGCGCTTTAAATTTAGCAAATTTAGAAACAAGTTCCTCCAAGTCAATACTGTGAGCAATGTCATGTTCCATTGACAAGGTAGATAACCCAACAAGTCTTTGTTGCAACATTGATGTTTGCATGTATGTTTTTATCAACTTGAGCTTCGAGAAGCTTCGCTCACCACTGGCCACAGAAACTGGGAGAGTCAAGAGGATGCGAAGAGCAATAACTGTGTTAGGGACACTATCTGTCAGCTTATTTTCCAATATGAAGTTCAATACATCTTGCGGTGATGCACTCTTTGGACTCGTCTTGCAATAGCTTGCAATTCACTGCACAAGTCAAAGGCATCAATATATTTGGATTCACCATGTTGCAAAGCTTGCTCCAGATTCAAGCAATGTTCCATAATTTGCTTTGGTGTTGTATTTTGCAAACTGTAAACATCATATATGAAGCCAAATACTGAACTAATTTGCTGTATCAATGTGAATCTTTCTTCAACCGAATGTATTGCTGTGTCGATGACTGCAAAGTAAAAGTTCACTCTGCTTCATATGTGAACTGCTTCCTCTTTTTTCTAATACAGATTGGATCTGGTTCAAAAAGTGCCGGTACATCCAACTCCTCGGCAAGTTCACCTGCATCAACCAATGTTTTCTCAAAGCCTGCGTCACTTCTGCGGCCCACAAGAAACGTCTTGGTTTCTCCAAGTTCATTAATGGCGTCACATATGTCTAATTCTTTCACCTGAAGTTGTTTGCTAGTCATGTTGATCTCAAACAATATGTCATACCACAAAACAAGAGAAACAAGAAACTTGAAACTAGAAATGGCTTTTGTAAGATCCTTTGCATCAACTTGTGACGTATTGCCAGATGATCCTGTTAGAGTAGTGTCATCATAGATGTCACCAAACTGATAGTGAAGAGGTTTCAAGGCATCGATTCGACTTTCCCATCTTGTTTCACTCAATGGTTTAACTGTGAGATTAGATACGTGGCATGTTAGAACTTCCCAGCAACGTGTAGAAGCTGAGAAATACACATACACACATTGAACTAAATCAAGAAGGCGGTTGCCTCCAAGCAACACTTTGCAGCATCATTAACAACCAAATTCAATGAATGTGCACTGCAAGGAACAAAAAAGGCTCGTGGATTAATATCCAAAATTCTTCGCTGGACACCATTTTCTTTCCCTTTCATATTGCTCCCATTGTCATAGCCTTGACCACACAAGTTTTCTATAGGCAGTGACATCTCTTCTAACTGGTGAGAATAGTTTCTGTCATACCAGCTCCAGTTGTCTCCGTAAGAGACACAAATCCCAAGAAGTGTTCCTTTATGCATACTGATTCAGTCTCATTCTCTGTCTCTGAAGTAGGCCTATCCACAAACCGAATGATTATGGTCATTTGTTCAACATGGCCTGCATCTGGTGTACAATCTAGAATGATCGAAAAGTATTTTGCAGCACGAGCAGCTGCTAGGATTTTTTGTTTGATGGCATTGGATAGAAGTTGAATAAGCTCATTCTGTACGTCTTTCCCTAGGTAATGTAAATGCATCTCCTTGTCCTTAATCCTGTGAAGATGCTCATCCATAAGCGGGTCAAAGAAAGCTAGATAGTCAACAAATTTGAGGAAATTCCCGTTACCAGTGTGCAGTTTTTCGTGTGTTCCCCAAAAGGCCAGGTTTTGCATACCAAGAACTCTGACCAAAGCAAGTCATTAGTATTTGATGCCAATACTTTTCTTCTTGCTTAATGAAGAGCAAATGTTCATCATCATTTGTTCTCTTGTATTTCAATCGCAGTTCAAGTTCCTTACATGTTTGAACATTCATCAAATGTTGACTGCTTTTCTCGTGCCCTGAAAGAATTGCAGACATGTTTTTCCAAACCTTTGAGCCTTTTTCAGAAAAAGATGATGTGCCAATGGTACTACTGCCAAACAACTTGCAGCAGAAGCAAAAGACAGAATCATTTGATGCGGAATACTACAGCCACTGATGGTGCATTTCTTTTCCATTAACAAGCCTACATTTGTAATGAATTGTCAAGAATTTTCTTTGCTTACTATCTTTGGGAAAAATCGAACTGCTGAACTTGTTCCGCCCCATGTTCCACCAGAATTTGTCGGACTTGATCATCAAATTTGGCCCAAGTAGCAGGATCACTAAAGCTCAAATTCAAACGAATGACATTTTCACTTTCACGGTCTTCCAAGTTTTGATCCTCGCGTGTCTCATTTGATTCGTCTTTAATATTCAGATTATGTTCTTCAAACTCTTCTTCAACTTGTGAAACTGTCATCCCTACCTCCATCTCTGCTTGATCCTTTGGCATTGAACTACCTTTATCTCTGGCCAGTGGATGGAGATATTTCAGAAACGAACCTTCTTGCTTTCTTTCTTTTTTTTGCTTATCAGCCGTCCGCTTTCGAAATTGTGCCCCAGACAATTTTTTTCTATCTGCCATGAGGCTGCATCAACTGAAAATGAAAAAAATGAAATTTTATTCCTATCCATTTTTTTTCTTGTTCACTATTAAAAGTAAAGGATAGAGCAGTGGTTCTCAAAGCCGGTCTGCCGCTTGTTCAGGGAAAGCCCCTGGCAGGCCGGGCCGATTTATTTACCTGCCCCATCCACAGGTTCAGCCTATCGCGGCTCCCACTCGCTGCTCCAGGCCAATGGGGGCTGCAGGAAGTGGCAGTCAACACATCCCTCGGCCCGCGCCGCTTCCCGCAGCCCCCATTGGCCTGGAGTAGCGAACCGTGGCCAGTTGGAGCCGCGATCAGCCGAACCTGCGGACGTGGCAGGTAAACAAACCGCCCGGCCCGCCAGGGGCTTTCCCTGAACAAGCGGCGGACCGACTTTGAGAACCACTGGGTTAGAGAATACATGTCACTTACTATGAGTCACTATTTGAATTTCATCAACTGTTTGACGTAAACATTGATTAAGAGATCAAGATGACTTTTCCTTAAAATTAAGCAATGTTGATTGTAATCGGAAATACACCCTTTTTAGTCACGTATACTTCCTTCCTTATTTCATATCAAAATCTGACTGAGAGTGCTGCAGAACCCATTGCATGCACCTCCAAATGATTAAAAACATCAAATGATACAAACTCAATTTGAATGAAAAGTTCCATTTTCTAACTAAATAGGTCACACTCTCTCAAATGGTTGCCAAGTGCTCTCTGTGGTGGTATGCTCATCTGCTCTAAATGTCTACTAACTTCCCTGTGAGAATCATCTTTGACTTTGATCCAATGAAAGCAGGATGGAAAAGCCCCCCCGAAGACCTAAGACATGATGGCTGGATGACATAAACAGACACCTGTCCCTCACAGGCACTACCTCATAACATGCCAGTTTTGCTCAGGACAGAACATCATAGTGGAATATTATGCATTCAGTGATCTCTACACTGGCCAAGCAACAGTATGACAACTAACCTAACCTAATCAGCCCATCCAACTTTTTTGATTGCTTCTTGGGCACTGGCGAGGGGTAGTGGTGCCAGACTGAGCCCAGTGCCAGGGGTGCACTACAAGTCTACAAACCAAGGCGAGGTGCTGGGCCTAGAGTCCTGCCGAGACTGCAGTCCTGCGCCAGGCGAAGCGCAGCCTCCATGAGGAAAGAACTCAAAAGAATATCACGCTCCTTCTGCGTGATTCCCCCAAGCACTTCAGGCAGCTGCTATGGGGGTCACTTACAGGCTTAGGCCTGTTGGAGGCATAACAGAGCAGCAGGGCTTAAAACCCAGATACCGGGCATGACAGAGGCTGGGGCAGGGAGAGGGGGGCACCAGGGCAGCTCAGCTCTGTGGGCTGCCATCCTCTCCAGCTGCCCACGC